TGCATTTTGAAGCAGTTTTATCCACATAGGCAAATAATATCTACTTCAGTAAAGCTGAAACTGTGTAAAACATTAATTATATCAAAGATCAGTAATTGTGACAGTATATATGGCGCCGCTCTATCATATAGTGAACAAATTACAGCGTATTCAGAATTCGTGCGTCAGATTTTCTTGCGGAATACGAAAGTTTGATCATATTTCTTATAAATTTAAGGAAGTTGGTATTCTGCAGATTAAAGGCATGCAAAAACTTCACTTATTGACACTAACACATAAGGTCTTAGCTACCAAACAACCACAATATTTGCATAATAAGTTAACACGATGTAGTGACATAAATCAACTGAATACAAGGGATAGAAATATGTTAGTGATACCCTTACATTCTAAGGCTGTCTACAAAAAATCATTCAGCTACAACGCTATTAAATTATACAGGTTGGCGCATCGAAAATGAAACAGAAGCATTTACTGGCAGCTAAGTTTTTTTTTTGAAAAACGCTCAGACCCGTCGATTTTGTTTTCGAGGGGGACACAAGTTTGGCAAAAAATCACGTTAGCACGTGCAGCCCCCTAAGCGGGGGTGACACCACCCCCAAAATCTTAAATGGAAAGGGGGGTCGAGTGATACCTTATTTTAAAGGTCTTCCCGTTCCATTCATAATGATATAAAATTAATGTACTTCAGTTCAGTAGTTTAGAAGATTTATTGATTTAAAGCTTAAATAAAACTAATACATCATCATTAGTGGAGATCAATACATTTGGCAGCAAATTTGAAAATGAAGAATGAACTGACCCGTTAGGCAAGTAAATGTTGAAAATGGTGACTATCCATGCAATAATAAAGATTTTGCTCAAAACGTTGCCGCACATTTTGCAATATTTGAAGAGTAATTTGAAGACACTCATTCACAATTCTTTGTCGTAGATCTTCTAATGATGTTGGCTGAGTAGCATAGATTTTGCTTTTTAAATGACCCCACATAAAGAAATTCAAAGGTGATAAATCTGATGATCTTGAGGGCCATTCAATCACCTTTTCTACCAATCCATCGATCTGGAAACGTCTGATCTAAATATTGTCGAACACGTAATGCGTAATGTGGTGGGGCACCATCCTGTTGGAACATCAACCTATTCGCAATCTACCGCCGATCATCCTAATTTTCAATTATGGCTGTTAATGCTGGATCTATGGCGTCTTCCAGTAATTCCAAATACATTTCACCGGTCAAATTTCCAGGTAAGAAAAAAGGACCAACTAAATGATCGCCAAAAATACCAGCCCAAACATTCAATTTTTCTGGCTGCTGTGTATGAACCTCATGATAAATTCTAGGATTAGAATCGGACCAATATCGGCAGTTATGACGATTTACTACGCCATTTAAGAAAAAGGAACATTCGTCGGAAAAGCAAGTGTTGAATAGAACATGTTCATCGTTTATAATTCGTTCACTCATATCTTTACAAAATTGTAATCGCCGATTAAAATCGTCTTCATTAAGTTCTTGTACCAGGTGAATTTTATACGGATCAAAACTATGGGCCTTTAGAATCCGTTGGACAGTATACTTTATCTGAAGTCACTTGAAATAGCATAAAAACCTTTGGTCGGCGCGTCCTTTGTAATTTCATGACGTATCATAGGCGTGCGGTCATCTATTTAGAACGATAATAATAATATTTTTATATCACAATAAATGGATTTTACTATCTTATTATTTTTTTTATTTGGGATAAAAAATACTTATATTGGGAGTTTAATTTATGTTGACTGAAAGTTAAGAAATTGGAAAATTACAGAATTCCAACGTTTGACATAGGCAAATATTTACATAGCAGGTAGGTATATAAAAAGGTATATAAAGACTTACATTATAGGTATTTATATATCATCCTCGCCTTCGGAGCTGTCGCTAGAGTCATCTTGTACAGGAATTACGACGGGATTTACAGGAGGCAAAACACAATATTAATTTTCTTTTTCAATAATATGCCTATAACACTGCTTCCATAGGACTGTGGCAGCGATATGAAATACTGCATCTCTTATTGTGGCCAATAGCGATTCACTTAATTGAGGGGTCTGATTATGTTTTCTTACTTTTTTTTAAAAGCAGCCCAGACCAACTCAATCGGGTTAAAAATGCAGTAATAGGGAGGTAGACGTAATACTTCATGGCCATTTTGCTGAAGCAGATTGTCAACAACATACTCTTTTTCAAATTTTTGTCTTTTAATAAGATCCAATAATATGGCTTTGGTTGATTTTTGTGGTATTTCCATTCCCTTATCCTTCATAAAATCAATAATGTCTTGTTTTTTGTGCCTGTATTCGGAATTTTGTTTTTCTGTCGGGAATGGTATGGCGCATTGTCCATAATAATCACTGAATTTGGGAAAATGTTTGGTATTAACTGCTGCTCTATCCACTTTTCAAATAAGTCGGAGGTCATGTCCTCATGATAGTCGGCACATGATTCTTTGATATTTTAGGCAGATAACAGCAAGGCATTAGGTATAAATCCATTTTCACTGCCAGCATGGAGAATAATGATTCGTTTTCCACGGTTGCATGGTGCATTTAAAATGCACTTGTTGCTGTCGTCAACCCAGCCTTACTGCACAACATCATGGATATCATACCACGTTTCATCCAGGTAAATCAGATTTCTTTTCTGCTCTCTATAGATTTTAACTTTGTGCAAAAATTCTTGGCGCAATTCAACGATTCGAGACGACTCCATAATCACCATTCTTTTATCTAATTTTTTGTATTGAAAACCACACAGTTTTACAATACAGTGCAGTGAGTCTAATCATTTGTAATTATAAAAATCTTCAGGATAATTTTTTAATTTATCCCGTATCATTTCCAACGTGGGCACCAAAATTTCTTTATAAAATCCGTATATTATACGACGAATATCTTCCTGAAAACCCACGTCTATTCTTTTTAATTTTTGCCCTATGCGCTTTCTGTGGAAGGAATGGTTGACTACATCTCCCCGATAAATGGTAGACCGACTGATTTTTGTCAGGATACAAATTCTGTTTAAAATTTGATTTTGCGAGGAATCTGGATTTTCGTTTTTCAGACAATCATACATATTTAGGATTACTCTTTGGGTCTGTTCCTCTAAATCTTTATGAAAGAATTCTGCCTGCACAGGTTCATCAACCATCTCCTCGTGGCTTGGAGCATTTTCTCAAGGTCTCCAAAGATCCATATTTAGGACACACAAGAACCATCAACACAATAACAACAAGTAAACTGAGTATTCAAAAGTCAAAAACACACAAACTAAAAAAATCTATGAAAAAACACGGACAGACTAAAGAAAACACGTTTATTCACCGCTACACGGCACTGGCTAAACTGTTTCAATTTTCAGTAGCCACCTGCACTTGTTCGGAGCTCTGAAATACACGCTTTCTCATTGGCTATGTCCACGCATAGGCGTGCTTTACTCCACGTGGACCGGTGAAACTGCCTTTGATCTTATACTTATATATATATTTGCTGCGAAATTTGGCGATTTTTGCAGCAACAGAGCGTGTTAAATATAGATATATAAAACGCACCCGGTATTTCACAGTGTTTCAAGTGACTTCAGATAAAGTATACGTCGACTTACACCACACACAGTCTGCAATTTGCGGGTACTTAACGTAGGATCTACATAAACTTGCCCTAAGACCCCCCCACTTCTATTGCTTCGTTCCTTATGGGATTTTCAATGTTGCGTTTTTTATTGGCGACTGACCCTGTTTGCCGAAATTTAGCTACAAGTTCTAGAACATATTGTCGATGCACGTTACTGTTCTCATGTCGCTCATTAAATATTTCTTCTGTTCTATTAGCGCACTGATTATTTCCGAAAAATATTTCGATACTCTTTTTGCTGTGGAATATACCATGGTAATAAAGCGTTACAAGTTATTTTAGCAACAAAGTTTGGTCAAATCAATCGCAAACTATGTACTAACTTCCTATTTAAAATAAGTACGAGATATTTCCTTATCTTTCTTCAAGAAATAACTTTTTGGCCACTAAAAAATGCTCAAATAGCTATTTTCAACAACAAAATGATAAACATACCATGGGCGTAGTGAAGAAAAGCATTTACTTATTAAGTAAATTCTTTTAGTCAAATTTCTTCTGAGAGTAGTAAAAACTAATCTGATGTACCTAGTAAAGTCTACTTTAAGCTTTAAATCAATAAATCTTCAAAACTACTGAACTGAAGCTCATGTATTTTACATCATTATAAAGGGAATTGAAAGAACTTTAAAATAAGGTATCACTCGACCCCCCTTTCCATTTAAGATTTTAGGGTTGGTGTCACCCCCGCCCAGGGGGCTACACGTGTTAACGTGATTTTTTTGCCAAACTTGTGTCCCCCTTGAAAACAAAATCGACGGGTCTGAACGTTATCCAAAAAAAAAACTGAGCTGCCAGTAAATGCGTCTGTTTCGTTTTAGATGCGCCACCCTATATAATGATCTGCCTGTTACATTCCAAAACTATACATTATTTAATTTTAAAAAGAGGCTTAAAAAAACTACAAGTCGAGGTCTGGTGATGAATACAAAATGCGAGAAATATGGGCAATTCTGGTAATTGTTGTTTTTCTTTTAATATATTTTTTTTTGTTCTTTCAAAGGTTAAGTTGAAAAACGCTAATATTCGCCTTTTTTGTACTTTTACTTAGGTACGAAATAAAGCCCATTTATTATTATTATTATTATTATTATGTACTTATACTGAGCAGAATTTCAAAAATTCTTACGTATCTGCAATCTCGAACAAAAATGCATTACTTGTGTAATCCGGTGAATAGATCAAGAATCTGTTTCCAGTTTTTCGCTGGTTTCGATGCTAGTTCCTAGAAGTTCCATTCTCTTACGCCAAATAGGTCGTAGTTGTCGCTACCTTCTGACATTTTTGTATGTCGAGTCCTAGTATCGCAAATATTGCCCTCGGCAACTGTAGAGCATAATCGTGCAAGTTTTGATAAAAAATAACCACTTCAAACACCTTTATTTATTCAAACAATCCAACGCAACAAAACATACTTCAGTACAATGACAACCTCAATCTAAGATAGAAGGAAGTGTATCCCATAGCATCCACTTGAACAACAGTAGAGTATTGAACGTTAACAAAAAAATCATGACTTTGAAGTAGTACGAGAGATTGACGTTGACAATGACATTTTGATGGACTGTACGTAGCAGTTCCTCCACGTGACGGTTGTCACCTTGAGACAACAGTAGGGCTATCAAGCGGACGTCTACGGGAAGGTCCCCACCAGCTGCTTCAATGTCGTCTCCGTTTAGGTCTGGGAGAACTGGAGGACGACCTGAAATGATCAAATATTAATGCAACATCTGAAACTTACCATGAGGTTAAAAAATGGGTAACAAAAATCATACTACTTGAGATTTTTGGTGACAGGCTGTCGGTTTTTATAAATAAATGAAGCATGATGATAAAGCATTTCTCGACATTTATCAATAAAAATAAAATAGTATTTCTTCATTATTGAATGATAGATGCTGTTACCTCAGTAGACGTCAAAATACGATGGATACTCGTGCAAAATAGTGTTCTGGGTGTAAACAAGATTTTGACTCTTGGTACAGCTAGTTTTCAGTATAACTCTGAATGGACCAAGATTTGAAATTAAGTGCCATTAATAACATCTATTGAGCTCGAAAAGAGCTACCCAATGACGGACTACACGTAGGTAGCTATTGGAGGTATGTACCAAAATTTGCATCATCCTTTGTTCTGACTGTCATTTTGATCTGTATTTTGAAATGGTGGTGATGTGGTATTAAGGTGTCCACCCATTGAAGGGAAGGAAAGCGAATTGAAAAGAAGCGATACTCTTCTGCTGGGTTTCTCTTCACGTGATCAAACGAGAGTCTACGAAATGGAGCGACGCGAAGGGAAGCAACGTGTCACGTGTGATTTGGCAAATGACAAACGTCGCCCCTGTTCTCTTCGCGTCGCTTCGCGTCAGTGGGCGTGCAACTTATTGGGCAAACACCTTACATCCCACCTTTGATTTCTAGATAGAGATATTGTGACAGCTAGCGTCATGTTGCTTATGTTCACAAGCTGTGGTTTCAGTTGAGGTGCTGGGGTGACTATCTTAACGGTAAATGAAAGACAGACTATCGCTTGATAATATTGTCGCATCAGCAAAAAAATAAAAACTGTTGGTACATGGCAAATTTTACGAGGACATTTTTTTACACTGAAGCAGAAGTCTAAATGCCAGGGCACCGCGACTGCTATCAGGAGCTTAAAAAGACTTTGAACTGCCTAAGATTAATGGAACTGGGAAACATTGCATATCTGCATCGCATATTAACAACTAGAGTTAAAACCCCTTCACATTTAGGGATGTCACAGTATTTGTTTTTAGTCTAATCAGGTTTGGTGATCCAGGAATCAGACGATGTTAAAGAGAGACGGAAAGATAAAAAACAAGGAAGATATGATGAGCGCAAGAGGAGGATTACTCACTCCTATCGTGTATGCTGAAGACGCTCCTGTCCATCGCATCAGTATCGTGCAAAAGCGTCGCTAAGCAGTAAGCGATGTGGGCCAGAATCTCCTGTAGTTTGCGTACTGTTTCAATTTCAGAAGTGGGATCTGGCCTTTCTTCTGCTGGGTTTTCCTCTGAATGCTCGGCAAAATCCAAATTGAAATTTTCTAAAAGACAATTTTTCTTATAGCTGTTCTCTCCTCCGTTTTTACTGTATTTACAAGATGAATAATACCAACACCTCTTTCCTACATAGGATTGGCTTACCTATATCTTCAGACAGGTCATCTGGGTTATTGTCGTTCTGTTCAAGTTCTCGATTACCGATCCCGAAGAGCGGATGATCTTCTGGTCCATCTACCAACTCGTAAACTTTTGATACCTTCGATTTTAGCCTCCGGATTTCGACCATATCCTGAAGAGACTTTTCACAAATGAATCACCTGGTGATACATACATAAGACGTTACAAAATGTCCGTAAGAGAACGCCAGCTATAGTACGTGTAAAATCATGAGTGAAGCTCATATAAACGAGGGTTCGAAAAATTCACATTTCAATGAAACGGGATGGTTAAATTGCACGCCACTGGATTTTGCTAAAATAAGTGTTTTCTCGACACCTGGAAAAAGCTTCTTCCGTCACTAATACCACTGATATAAATGCTCCAGGAAATAATTTTGAACACGTTGATAACCAAAACCCAACAATAAGTTTCTCCCAGTCCCTGAACGGCCATTTACAGTAGAGACTAGGTCAGTTCACCTGGTATCTGGAAATCTTATCATTGATTTGCTTGACTGGATTTGGCATTATCTGATTCCTTGTTGGAAATAACCAACGAATTCAGGCCAGGCAGAAAAAGTCAAGGATTTATTTGTCTCCTACTTGTCACAGTCTGTACTGAGGATCAAAGTGTACTTGTTATAAGCCAATTTTTTTACAGTTCTATCATTAAATTCGTATGTTTAATGTTATTTTTTAAAACTGCGAATATTTCGAACTACACGAAAACGTGCAGTGGTTTGCGAAAAGGTCCCCTCCACTTATATTTTGAACAGGTTTAGTTAAAATTCGGGTAGATGAAATTATTGCATGAATATATTTGTATTTAAACGTAAAACCTAAAAGTTTTTTGTGATTGTGCATTTTCCATTAATTAACTACGAAAATAAGGTTGAAGGCCCTCATCCGCTTTGACCGAAATCACTCGATTGAGATTTGTTGTGGCTTCCTACCAAAATCATTGGTTCAAAATACTTGTTTGTATGTCTGAGAAATTCATTGAAACTAAATATTTTGAAAAGCTGTTCTTATATACTAAGTGACATATAAATCCGAACACCCAGTTTAAATGGTTTTATTTTAATAAAATTTTGTATAAGTACTTAATGGAGCATAATAAGTAAATGATAAAAATTTCAAAATGATTGCACTGCTTTAAAGCCCTTTGACATTTAATAATGTGATGATGCACCCTGATGTGCTACGCATTCTCCAACGCGCCTAGGCATGTTTCTGATCAGGTGGTCAATGTCCTCCTGTGGTATCTCATTCCAGGCAACCACCAACTCCTCTCGAAGTGCTTCTAGAGTCTGAGGAGGACGTTGCAAATTGAGCAATCTCCTACCCATCATATCCCACACGTGCTCAATTGGGGATAAGTCGGGAGATCTTGGTGGCCATGGTAACAATGTGACATCATTATGTTGAAAGAAGTCTATTGTGACTTTTGCAACATGTGGTCGGGCATTATCTTGTTGGAAAGTTGGATCTGCCAGGGTGTCAAGATAGGGTAAAAGATGGGGTTCTAGAACTTCGTGGATATAACGCTGCGCGTTCACGTTACCTCTGATGAAGATTAAAGGTGACCTGGAACCATAAGCTATAGCATCCCAAACCATAACTCCAACAGTGTGATGAACATGTCTTTCAACAAAAAACTGTGGATTCCTCCTTTCACCACGTCGCCTTCTAATCCTGGCACGACCATCGTGCATGCCTAAACAAAATCGAGACTCCTCACTAAAGACAATACTGTTCCATTCCTGATCCCAGAGTGACCGTTGTCTGCACCACTCAAGGCGATTACGTCGGTGTTCTCGAGTTAAAGGCAGGACCCAGTGTGGCCGGTATGAAAACAAGCCAAAATTTCTCATTCGTCGGTAAACACTTCGCATGCCAATAGGTCTTCCGTGTTCTGCAAACCATTCATTTGCGATGGACCTGGTAGTGGAGAAACGGTCCCTTAAGGCCAATAATCTTAGGCGGAGATCTTCACGGTCTGTTGTTCTACGGCGGCGTCCAGTGCCCCTTGCTCTTTGCGTACGGCCTTCTCGAAGCCAAGTCCCACTATACGGCCCCTATCAAACTCACAAAGTTGACGAAATCGTACAGGTCTCCGTACTCTAGGCATCGTAACCGATCGTAAAGGATGTCAAGAACCAAAATCCGCCAACGTTGATTCTTTACTGCGGCTGAAATATTCATTTTTAGAGCGTTAGTGAATTAAAAAAAGCAGTATAAAAACCGGAATGTCCAACTGATAAGGCTGAAAATTTTTTCACTTGTTATTTACAGTAAGATAAATACATTCACCATTTTTTATTAAAATAAAACCATTAAAACTGGGTGTTCGGATTTATATGTCACTTAGTATAGATAGTAGTAAAAAGAATTGGAATTACACGCACAACACCATTCTTGCCATGCCATTCTTTTTGTTATTTGAAAAAAGACATTTCGAACCCTGTTAGTCAAATAAGCACGTGGGCTTGTGTATACAACCGAATGCTGTTTATTTAAGAAATTTGAACAAATAAGTCCAGGTACGTTTTTACCATGGTGGATTCATGGTTTGGATGCAAAACGGGAAATTCGATCTTTCTTAGGTGCTTGCTGTACCCGGGTTTGCATCTTAAAAATATCAAAACATGCAAAATTAAAACATGCCAGTTTCTTACAACGAAGCAGCCGCGCAGGCACTGCATAAATGCCGGGGCACCGCGGCTGCTACGAGGAGCTTAAAGAAACTGATTTTTGAACTGCCTAAGGCTGGTAAAACTGGGATGTTCCACAATCTCGATAACCTAGGGACAAAAAAGCGGTCGTATCGGCCAGTTCTGGATATACGAAGTTCGACACGGTTGGGATAGGAGGCCAAAGTCAGGAGGGTCTGAGGTCTGAGGAGCAAAGCCCATTGCATAGCGGTAGGAAAGAGCTAAAGTGTATCTAACGAAGCTACAAAGTAATCGTAAACAGTGGTTGATTCGTGATCAACGCGTGATCGGTAGCCATGGCGCTCTGTCGGCCACTTCCTGATTGGCTTGTAGCGACGAGCCTCCAGACAAAGTCGCACGGTTGCCACGCTCGGCGAGTTTTCGCCAGAGTGGTTGATCACATTCGCATGGATCACAAATCAATCTGTTGGTGCAATACGTGCAATAACTGTTGTAAAGGACATTATATAACAATAAATGGCATCACAAAGGTATATTCCAATTTGATCTGCAGCAAATTATGAACGGCATATACGGAGATGCGAAAACAAGCTCAAAAAGGTGAAGAAAATTTTTGTGCAATCTTTATAGTTAAATTTTTCCTAAGAGATAGATAGCATCAGTGAGGGAATTTTTTTCTATTGTCTTATTTTTCACATGCGATGTCGAGGTATGTGGCCCTATCGCAATTGAAAATAAGGTTTCGATAATCCTTCCATAAAGTTTCGATGAGTACATCTGAAATAACCTTGAGATATTCTTCAGGGAAATACAAAAATCTCCTTTTGTGTTTTTTTGTGCAGATTTATCTATTAAAATCCTATCCGCAATCTATTTTCCGTGCACACACCTTCAACCGAATGTATGCCATATATGATATTACCGTTTCCAACTTTCACCAAGGTTAATAGGAACCATAACAGCTCCCTACCCTTCCCCCCTATAAGAATATCGATTTGTAGCCTCACATTTCAAGGTTAGACTTCTTGTAATGTTTCTGTTCAACATTCGGCGATTTCTGACAATTTTCCCAATAAAACATGATCATTGTGACATTAAGCCTGGCAACGCTGCATAGTAGAGGGAACTCTCAGCGTCACGTTGATGGTTCGTCACCACGCACAGGATTGTAATCAGTTACGGATACCCGTTTATGAGTGCGAACGTTTTATGCACGTCTTGACTTGATTTTTCTTGCGGAAATTTAATATTAGTCTAAAATGTCTGACACAGATACAGCTGATGAAGTGGTTGAAATCAGCTTAACGCCACCCAGCAAAAGGGCTAAAAAGCTTCATCTTAGCGCAGGTGTAAAACAAATTATTCTAAATATCTACAAGAACCAGATGCAAGAGAATAGTGGATTGGCTATAGAAAATATCGTATGTAAGGTTGCTGAAATTTCTGGAGTAGGTCGATCAAGTGTTTACAAAATCTTGAAGGAATATAGACAAAATCACTCACTATCTGAGCCAAAAACATATCCAGCGAGAAAAAAAAACATCGAAAAAATAGATGACTTTGACAAAAGTGCCATTAGAAGAAAAGTACATCACTTTTTCTTCAGGAATGAAATACCTACAATAGATAAAATATTGAAGCAAGTGAATGATGATGAGGACCTGCCAAATTTTAAAAGATCTACGTTCCATAAGCTGTTGAAAGAACTAGACTTTCGATTTTTGAAAAGAGGAAGGAATAGTTTATTGATAGAAAAGGAGGAAATTGTTATCTGGAGGAGAGAATACCTTAGAAAAATTAGGCAATTCCGCGCTGAAGGAAGAAAAATTTATTATTTAGACGAAACATGGGTGAACGCGGGGCATACGCAGGGAAAGGTTTGGGTAGACAGATCTGTGAGGTCCTCAAGGCAGGCTTTTTTAGATGGCCTTTCGACGGGATTGAAAAACCCTGCAGGTAAGTTTCGAAGTATATGAACTTTTTTGGATGCAGATAATTCATTTTCTGATCGAATCAATGATTTGGAAGCTCCGAACTCAGTTTTGCTATCTCATCCAAGTTTCTGAGTATTTCCTTCACCCAAAAACTAATCTAAGACTCTATCCTACACTAACCTAAAAAGAGTAAGTTGCTTAATTTCGTCATTTAGTGCGCTCGCTGAGAAGTAAAATAACTAATTACTTTCAAGCAAGGGAAAACGCCTGATCATTTGCCACATAGGTAGTGTAGATGGATTTGTTCCTGAAGCATTGTGGGCATTTGAATCCAAAAAAACTGGAGACTATCATGAAGAAATGGATGGTAGCTCATTTGAAAATTGGTTCAAAAAAATTTTGCCGACACTTGATGATAACGCAATTATTGTGATGGATAATGCCCCGTACCACTCCAGAAAATTGGAAAAAATTCCAACAATGGCCACCAAAAAGGCAGACATTTAACAGTGGCTTGTCTCAAAGAAGATCGACTTCGACCAAACAATGGTCAAAGCTGAGCTGATAAATATAGTCAAGCGACATAAGTACAAGCATGATGAAAAAATTGTTGACGAAATGGCCAAAACCCAAAATAAAACGATTCTCAGGCTGCCTCCCTATCACTGCGAACTGAATCCTATCGAGTTGATTTGGGCCGACATCAAGCAATACGTGGCGTCAAATAACAGCACTTTTAAGTTTTCTGACCTTAAAAAACTGTTTGATGTTGCTGTCGATAGAATTACGCCAGCAAAATGGAGAACATGTATTGACCATGTCCAAGAGAAGGTTGAAACCCAAATGTGGAATATGGACAATATCATTGACACCCAAGTTGAACCCCTTATAATTGACATCAACAATTCTGATGATTCAAGCTCCTCGGAATACAGCATATAAATCGATTGATACCATTAAGACTGGCAGTTTAACGGGCTTTTTGGCAAGACAGGTAAGTTCATTATACAGGGTTATCCAAATTAAGTGTCCACCATTAGTAACTTTGTTATTAGTGAAAATACAAAGTTGTTTGAATTAGCAAACTAGTAGCATTTTTAACGCTGGTAAAAATGAGAAATAAAAAAAAAACAATTGAGAGTCGTTATTTTGATTTTTTTCAGTAAAATAACATTTTTTTAAATGGAAACCCCTGTATATTATATTTTTTTCTGTTAAAGCATCAAATTTTAAACAAAAAAGCTTACAATAACTTTTCTCCTAGGTTACAAATTGTTGAAGTTATGGCCTCCAATCTGAAACAATTAAATTGTATCGACAAACTTTATTTTCAACATCAACTTATAATCTTACAAAATACAATAACAATTTTTTTTAAAGAAGATGCTCGAAAACACCACCTTGTTCTTCAATACATTTTTGGGCACGTTTTTCAACTGCTCGAACTGTCTTAAGTATGGTCCTACCATCTATCTGGGTTATCTTTTCCCTAACTGCAGTCTTTAACGCGTCAAGGTTATCGTACCTTCGCTTGTAAATTTGGTTCTTTAAGTAACCCCACAAGAAGTAATCAAGTGGGTTTAGATCTGGTGATCTGGGAGGCCACTGTATTGGGCCATTTGTTCCTATCCACTGATCATTAAAAGTAGTACTTAGAAAATGATAAGTACCTCTGGAGTTGTGGGCAGGTGCGCCATCTTGCTGAAAATGCAGATGATGTCTACTTATAAGATCCAATTCGTCTAAGAAATTAGTCAGAATTTCTGACATAAATTCCACATATCTTTCACCAGTTAGGGTTCCCTCATAAAAGAACGGGCCAACAATTTTTGAACCAATTATACCGCACCAAACGTTGAAACTGAAACGGACTTGTGGGCCTCTTGGATGTACTAACAAAAGATTTTCTCTTGACCAATAATGGTGGTTTTTTCTATTAAACATTCCAGAATTTGAAAAATTTGATTCATCTGTCCATAAAAGGTAACGAAAGTTATTTACATTTTGGCGACAGAAGCTAAGATACCAATGGCAAAAAACAAGTCTTCTCTCTGGATCCCCTGCCAAAAGCGTTTGAACTGGTCGGTACTTATACGGAATAAATTTGTATTTTTTTAAAATCCTTTGAACAGTACCATAACTGAAATTAGAGTCCTTGAGAATATCTGCTATTGAATTCTCACGATAAGCTTCAAAATATCCAATAACTGCAATTTCCGTGGCCTCGCTTATTATGAATTCTTTTTTTGCCCTTGTTTTAGCAAAAACATTTTCGTTGCCCCTAAATTTTCGATAAAGTCTCAGAAAATATCGTTCATACGGTTGAATGCGAGCGGGATATAATTCACTGTAGTATTTATTCTCTTGTTCTCAAGGAGGATTTTCTGCACACTAAATAGCATTCTAACATATCACACTTTTCTTCATGGGAGAACATTTTTCTTTAAATTAATGACACAATAAAGCTTATAAACAAGTATTTACACTAATGTTTGACATTATTTGATTTTATCATTGTTTTCCAAAGCCTTCTAGTTGCGAGTATGTCCAGTTTAACAATTTGTCGCTTATCTCAATGCTGTCAAATCGCGAACGCCATGTTGTTTTCATAGCCGTCTTAATATTATAATACTGCAAATAATTAAAAATATTTATCGTTATTTTGACTTTATTTTTGACTTTAGCGGAAAAGTCATTATGAACTTTTTTGTTTAAAATTTGATGCTTTAACAGAAAAAAATATAATATACAGGGGTTTCCATTTAAAAAAATGTTATTTTACTGAAAAAAATCAAAATAACGACTCTCAATTGTTTTTTTTATTTCTCATTTTTACCAGCGTTAAAAATGCTACTAGTTTGCTAATTCAAACAACTTTGTATTTTCACTAATAACAAAGTTACTAATGGTGGACACTTAATTTGGATAACCCTGTAGACTGCAATCAAAGTGTAAGTTTCTAGTTATTAATGTGGAAATTCCAAATTTATAATTACACAAAATTAGGGTTAATTTAGGAGTTCCAAAGCATAATAGTGCCATTTTGACCTTCTTCCTATTTCTCATGTAAATTTTAATAGCAATCAAACTAACAAACTTTATGGAGTCTGTAATAAACTTTTGTACTACTACTACTACGTCTGTAGTTTCTATTTGCTCAAAAAAATTTGCTCTGCATTGTGAATAGAAGGTTGATTTGTAAATATTATTGGGTATATATGTAAGTTAATAATAAAATATGAACAATTTCAATTGAGATGGTCCACAGGTTTTTTTCGTGTGCGTTCTAGTAACATTTTGCTGAAATGGTGCATACAGAATTTTTTGCACTGATTCCTAATGTCGAAATATGATTAGAAAGGCGTGGTATATTCCTGATAATTTACTATGCTTTTGATAGAATTTACAGCAACACATATCTTGTACGACATTTTTTGATAGATCAGTCACAATAGCTTGATACGGCCCTGTAGCGTCTCCTACGGTTAAGTTCTTGATCACGTGCAATACGGGTGTATATGTTTGATTTTACTTTGTTTCTTCGATGGATACAGTTTAGGTCGCCGATGCGAAATTGTCCCGAGTCCGTTAGAGAAGAGACATCGATCAGTCGGACAGTATCAAGCATGAATAGATGTAGTCCGGGCGGCAGCACCCCAAACATGTGAGCAGTACTCAATGCTAGGTGCTTTCTGGGCATTGTACAGAGTAAGGAGGTCATGTGGGGAAAAGTACTTCTTAGCCCTAAATAAATAGGTTTTTCTCAGCATTTGCCGCTATTGAGGAGACGTATTCGTGCCAGATCAAGTCCTCGGTATTCTGGACTCAGACTAGCCAAAATGAACGGCTCTTTGGTAGAACTCGGCCATCCATCGAAACCAGATGGGCGCTTTTTGTAGGTCATGGTACAGTACTGTATTTTGGAAGCATTAACTGTACAAGATTGTTAGCAGTGATAACCTCCAGGTCTCTCGTGTCGCTCCTAGTCTTTTCATGCAATATTTAAGTGTAGTTTTCAATAATAAGCAATGAAAATTTTGACTAATGTCCTTCTTTTACTTGAGTTACGTACCTACTACAAACCCGATTTCCTGCTAAGACAACGTAACAGCCTCTCTCCATTATTATTATTAATAAACTATAAAGTTTATACGGAATTTCAACGCCCAAAAAATACTTTAAAACCGCTTTATTTGCCAGCGACAGTTTTTATTGTCTCCTGAAAGATCCAAATGGTGTAACCTTCAAATTTTTCAATGACCGATTGAACTGAACTCGTACTTACTCTCTGGTGCGTCTACTTTCTCCTTGTCCTTAGATCCTTTTTTCCCACTCGACCTCAGGGTCTGCGTGCCCTGGGAGCACTTCTGGGAAGCGATGACTGCTGGTGCCTCTTCGTCGTAAGTACTTCGCAGTAGGTCCTCGATACGGTCGCAGCACTGCCTGGCGATGTATTCTTTGATCTTGTAGTCGCTGGTTATGAACGATGGAGTCACTTTGGGAGCGCTGGGAATGTCCGCGATGTCTTTCATCGTAGCAGCAACATGTTCCACTTGAATTTTGACAGTTGGTCCGAGCTATATGACGTGACTGTGTCAAAGTGGCAGGATCAAGGTCGCATGCCTTTTTTTCAACTGCACATATTTGAAGCAGTATCCTAAATCCGGCTGGACTATACATTAGCGCATAACGCAAATATTACATTTCTTATTTTGAAATGAAAGATTAAGATGTAACTTGCACAAAAATATCATTTTTTTCTTTAAGGAACCATCTGCTTGCTATTTTATAGAACTTCAAAGTTGCTTTTTGTGTGGTAATACTGTGGTATAGAATACTGCTTTATAAGCTGTTTTGTTCTTGTTTACACAAAAGATTGCTCAACATTATATGAATATAAAATACAATGTAAATTATTGTGACACTGTTCATCGTAATAATGCAATTTTGCATTATTTTAATGATGAAAATAGTTCATTGTTAAGTAGTAATTTCTTTTATTTTAGATCAATATTTCCATCACTACACCACCATCACTATCCTACTCTCTCCATCTAGTTGCGATGTTGCCAAATCATGGATGGTAATAAACCTTAATTTGGTTTGTCAAATTCTTACTTATATAGCGCTAAAATGTGCAATCGGCACAGGATTGTCATTAAAATGTGATTTGTAGGTGTGGCCGGTAGGTTTTACTGTACTAAATCCACTTCGTGCCCTACCATAGCATTAGCTAGACACTTTTTTGAAGAATGCCTTATGCCCTTCACAAAAGTATACTTTATCTGAAGTCACTTGAAACACTGTGAAATACCGGGTGCGTTTTATATATCTATATTTAACACGCTCTGTTGCTGCAAAAATCGCCAAATTTCGCAGCAAATATCCCCCGTATAAGATCAAAGGCAGTTTCACCGGTCCACGTGTAGTAAAGCACGCCTATGCGTCGACATAGCCAATGAGAAAGCGTGTATTTCAGAACTCAGAAAAAGTGCAGGTGGCTACTGAAAATTGAAACAGTTTAGCCAGTGCCGTGTAGCGGTGAATAAACGTGTTTTCTTTAGTCTGTCCGTGTTTTTTCATAGATTTTATTAGTTTGTGTGTTTTTGACTTTTGAATACTCAGTTTACTTGTTGATTTAATTGTTGTGTTGATTGTTCTTGTGTGCCCTAAATATGGCTCTTTGGAGACCTTGGGAAAATGCTCCAAGCCACGAGGAGATGGTTGATGAACCTGTGCAGGCAGAATTATTTCATAAAGATTTAGAGGAACAGACCCAAAGAGTAATCCTAAATATGTATGATTGTTTGAAAAACGAAAATCCAGATTCCTCGCAAAATCGAATTTTAAACAGAATTTGTATCCTGACAAAAATCAGTCGGTCTACCATTTATCGGGTTATAAAAAGGGGAGATGTAGTCAACCATTCCTTCCACAGAAAGCGCATAGGGCAAAAATTAAAAAGAATAGACGTGGGTTTTCAGGAAGATATTCGTCGTATAATATACGGATTTTATAAAGAAAATTCGGTGCCCACGTTGGAAATGATACGGGATAAATTAAAAGATTATCCTGAAGATTTTTATAATTACAAATGCTTAGACTCACTGCACTGTATTGTAAAATTGTGTGGTTTTCAATACAAAAAATTAGATAAAAGAATGGTGATTATGGAGTCGTCTCGAATCGTTGAATTGCGCCAAGAATTTTTGCACAAAGTTAAAATCTATAGAGAGCAGAAAAGAAATCTGATTTACCTGGATGAAACGTGGTATGATACCCATGATGTTGTGCAGTACGGCTGGGTTGACGACAGCAACAAGTGCATTTTAAATGCACCATGCAACCGTGGAAAACGAATCATTATTCTCCATGCTGGCAGTGAAAATGGATTTATACCTAATGCCTTGCTGTTATCTGCCAAAAATATCAAAGAATCATGTGCCGACTATCATGAGGACACGACCTCCGACTTATTTGAAAAGTGGATAGAGCAGCAGTTAATACCAAACATTTCCCCAAATTCAGTGTTTATTATGGACAATGCGCCATACCATTCCCGACAGAAAAACAAAATTCCGAATACAGGCACAAAAAAACAAGACATTATTGATTTTATGAAGGATAAGGGAATGGAAATACCACAAAAATCAACCAAAGCCATATTATTGGATCTTATTAAAAGACAAAAATTTGAAAAAGAGTATGTTGTTGACAATCTGCTTCAGCAAAATGGCCATGAAGTATTACGTCTACCTCCCTATTACTGCATTTTTATCCCGATTGAGTTGGTCTGGGCTTTAAAAAAAAAGTAAGAAAACATAATCAGACCCCTCAATTAAGTGAATCGCTATTGGCCACAATAAGAGATGCAGTATCTCATATTGCTGCCACAGACCTATGGAAGCAGTGTTCTAGGCATATTATTGAAAAAGAAAATGAATACTGTGTTTTGCCTCCTGTAAATCCCGTTGTAATTCCTCTACAAGATGACTCTAGCGACAGCTCCGAAGGCGAGGATGATATATAAATACCTATAATGTAAGTCTTTATATACCTTTTTATATACCTACCTGCTATGTAAATATTTGCCTATGTCAAACGTTGGAATTCTGTAATTTTTCCATTTCTTAACTTTCAGTCAACATAAATTAAACTCCCAATATAAGTATTTTTTATCCCAAATCAAAAAAATAAGAAGATAGTAAAATCCATTTATTGTGATAAAAAACATTATTATTATCGTTCTAAATAAATCACCGCACGCCTATGATACGTCATGAAATTACAAAGGACACGCCGACCAAAGGTTTTTATGCTATTTCAAGTGAATTCAGATATACCATACTTCGGTTATTGTTTTTCCTATATTATAGTTATAATCTATTTACTTCTTGAAGAATTATTTGAAGTGAAGCTGATGTCACAAAATTTACCTAATTAAATGTGATATATATATATATATATATATATATATATATGAGAAATAACTGAAAAAGTTGCTGTTGCCAATCACTGAATAATGAAAACATAACAAAGAACATTGCTAGTTTTTTGATGATTTGATGAAATGATCGTTGATGGTGGACCTAGCGAGGTGGTCCAAATCGACGAATCGAAGTTGGTTTTTTTTATATGCATTTGTAGTTTCTATGTCACGCGAGTCGCTGGTGAATTTTCCGCTGTTTAAACACATACTGTTCAAAATTCCATCTTGTTTTCGGTAAATATTGGGTCAACTTGCAAATCACGTATTTCTCCCAAAAAAAGGTACAACTTGGCAACAATGGACATCATTTATCTTATCTGTCAAGAAATCAACGTTATTAAATGTCCATTTAGAATTGTTTGCACTTTCAAATATTTCTTATAAACGCAAAAACTTTGATCTCATTGAAAATACGCGAAAAAAAAAATTGTTAAGGAATTTTAAGAAGACTGAAAAATCACAAAACACAACACCTCTACACAGTTTACCAAGTTACTACCATCATTTACGTATGTATTTTTAACTCTTTTAGCTAATAAGCTAATGTGTAATAATACTGCTGATTTTGAACCTTTTTTTTGCAAAAAACAACGATTTTTCACAGTTTCACATCTAGTTTGCTTAGTTACTATACAGTGTATGTTACATTCTTATAGTTTAGAGCATCATTTTGTGCAAAAAGCAAAAAAAGCGTATTCCATTCTAGAGAGTATTACCATCAAAAATGCAACTTTGAAGTTCTATAAAATAGCAAGCAGGGGGTTCCTTAAAGAAAAAATGATATTTTCGTGCAAGTTACATCATAATCTTTCATTTTAAAGTCAGAAATGAAGTATTTGCGATATGCGCTAAGGTATTCTTAATTAATTATTTCATGGTGTGAATAAAGATGACTAAAAAAACAATGTTTTTTGTCAAAAAATGCAATTTTTGTGTATTTTCTTTTCAATCGTAACTTGTTAACAGATAGTAGTACATAGTAGTACAGATCTGAAAATGTATGTCAAATTCCAAAAAAAATTCTTTCTTTATGTTCTTGAAATGTCATTTTGCGGCAAATTGAGTTTTCAAGAAAAGCAAAGATTTTTTGAAGAGAGAAAGTGATAAGAAAAACGGTAATCAACCAATTCTTCCATAAAAGTGGAATATTCCAATAATAGTTTTGAGCTGTATTAATATCTGTGAACAAGTTTCGATTGCAGAAAAAATGCAGCTCTTGGAAAAAAAAGATACTGATAACATTGTTTTTATTCATCTCCGTACAAAAATGGCCCGGCAGTTTTAAATGACGATATCACCTTACTTTTTGATCACAGAGTGTGTAACATTGAAAACAATTACAAATGTGTACAGTTTAACAACACCGAATTAAATTCCAATGGAAAACATGTATCTGTTATCCCTGCAACATTATATTTTTGAGCAGTTTTATGCCGCTTTTCGACTTCAAAAGCAAGAACTAATAAAATATTCCATTTATTTTCGATATTCTAGTTGAAAGCAAAACAGTTCAAATTAGTAGTAATTGGAAGCAATAAGAGCTTGAAAATGTAACGTGTAATAAATACATCGTATTGATAAAGGGGGCCGTGATTGTTGTTTAATAGTTTCGTTTCTTGTATATAAATATCTAATGACTTATGGTGGATTGTTTAGGATATCTGTCTTCAGATGGCTTGGTTACTGAAAACAGTATTCAAGAGAGACAGCATCATCTGTAGGGCACTAGGTGCACAAAAGAAAGTGGTCTGTGCTTGGGGTCAGACTATGTTTTTAATAAATAGTCTTTATTTATCTGCAATTAGATTGTAGTATAGCCAAATGTGAGACTTATTTGACGAAGTTGAGCATGCTGTTACTCCTACAGTTAACCATATAGTTGCTGGCAAGTGTTCACAATAATAAACTATTCACAAATAGATTTAGTTATATCTAAAGTAAAACGTGAAAAAGAAAAAGGCGTACTTTCCAAACCTAAGTACACCAAAAATAATGAACCTGAGTAAATCAACGGATGGAAAAAGAAATGAATCACTATGTAAATTACGAGTATATGTTTGGTTGGTTAAGTAATGTTGCTTTAACTTTTTGTCGAAAGGCAGGTAACGAAAATTCTTTATACAGGGTGTAAACGTTATGGTAGT